TATATATATATATACACACAGTATATTCGACATTTATATATAACTTGCATTTATTTCACTTTAATTTGATAACCTAAAATTCAAAATAATTGTTAATTTATTTTACTTAGTTTTTTTATTATCTATTTAAGTAATAAAATAACCATTCCTTGAAATCATGCTTAGATGCTACTCACCAGGGTGCAGAAGACGCATTGGCACTGGGTGATGGTGGTCATTTGCTCCAAGGGAAACTCTCCAAGACACAGCTTACAGGACACCAGCGGGTCCAGGGCCAAATCCCAGGTGGGTCGGTACCTAGCTGTGGTCATTATGCCTGCCGCAGAGCTGAAAAACACAGAATGGCTGCTATTAGAGAAAGCCCGCACACTTTAATACACGTATACAAACAGCGCAAAGCTTTTAACCGCTGTCAATCTGAAGTGCCTACTGCCGCTGCAGCCACGATAAGTGCTTTTGTGATGCCCAGCGCTAATATCCGCGGCATCCCAAACACCAACCCTTTAAATGCACATTAAATTAGCCACATTTCGTTTAGAGAAGGTCTAACAGATGAGGTGCTGAAAGGGTCAAATACATTTACACCCATTTATATTATATAACTGAAGGCCTGGCCACGAAGTGCTTTTATGAGATGCGTTCGGGAGTCTAGTCTAGTCTGACTGTAATGGAATGAGAAGTCGGGCCGGATAGACGGAGCAATTTCTCCTCTTCTGCTGCTGAATGAAAGATGACTTCACTGCGTGGTACTCCATAAATGAGAAGGTCAGGAGAGAGAAAGAGAGAGAAAAAAAAATCTTACTTTACTCTCTGCCTACGTCTCTCCTTTTTACAGTTTTTTCAGAGAGGGATATTTTTGGAAGTCTCGACTATGAGACACTTCCATTTTCTCACGCTGAAGTGGGCTGTTTTGCACAGAGAGACTCGTGTCTTACGTGTTTACAGGAAGTGCCTGTGAGAACATCAACACTTTGCCTTGGCTGCTAGGCAACGGGGGAATGGGAACGAGGCAGATACGCTTCTGCCGGTGGCAGTAGGTGTATTTAAAGGGGTCATATGATGCTACATACACATTTACAAGTTGTTTGTACTGAAATGTGTTGGCAGTGTGTGTTCACAACCACCATAAAATGATAAATATCCACCCAGTGTTTTTTTTTTTTAATCTGCTCAAATATTTACCCATTTCTCAAATCGAGCCGATCTCAGATGCCTGTCTGTATGATGTCACAAAAACAGGCCCCTCCCACGGTAGTTTGATTGACAGTAGCGTTTCAGCACAGACTGGACTGGTGTCTTACCTTAGACCCGCCCTGAGTGAGCCATTGTTTCACCGCCTGAGCAGATGTAGACAAGAATGACTCCTAAGCGATTGAGGTCTTCTGTTGTTGGATGTAATTATGAACATAGCAGTCGTCGTTTACTCCCGACATCTGAGCCACTGAAGCAGCAGTAGATTACGTTTGTTTTTGAAGAGAATGCACCCCCGATCTACATAAATGCGTCTATGTTCGCGCAAATTATTAGTGATCCAGCTTCACCTACAGAAGTAAGTGTACGTTTTTTTTTTTAATGAATCTTTGCAAATTGCCTTTCCTAATGTGCCAATTAGCAGGTTTCATGATGAATGCGGCTAAAGTAAACTACCTCAGAGAACAGCTCGGAAGAGAGGGGCGGGGTCAGCAGAGCTCATTAACATTTAAAGGAAAATGCTACAAAACTGTGTGCTCTGAAAAGAGCTGTTTTTGACAGGGTAAAAAAGGTGTTTTTTTACACTACCATTGATAAATTTTAACCAAACTATGTTACAGACTTTTCATTAAGACCCTAAAGAATCATATCAACTTGTGGAAAATGGGCATCCTATTAGGGTTGTGACGGTGAGGAAATTTTCCCACTGGTTAATCGACGTGTGACAACACCGGTAATACCGGTATCACCGTGGGGGCGGAGCGGGGGCGTTCCCTCTTTTCCTTCGCTTTTAAATAGCTTGAAAGCGCCGTGTGCATTTTACTTTCACTTTTGAAATTAGCGGCAGTTAGGCGTCAATTGCTTGAATGCAACAACAAAATACAACGTCAAACTCACTTTAGCGTATATATAAAACATAGAACTTTTATTAACGAAACAAATACAAATACACCCTATACACAATATAGGGCAGGCTATGCCTAATATAAAATAACAAATAACTTGCATAAAGTTTAAATAGGTATACAAAACTGGAAATAGGCTAAGTAAAAATGTATAATATATAACCAAATAAATAAGAAACGTAGAATGTTTATTAGCAAAACGAGTAAGAAAGCTTGGAGGCAGGGCATACACCTTGATGTCAAATAAAATAAATAAATCACACAAAGTTTAAATAAAGTAAAAATCATCAAATAATGTGGAACCAATTAAATAAGAAACAAATGTTTAAAAAAAACTTCCAAAATCACCTTAGATAAACAGCAAAAGTCAACAGGCATTTCAAAATCCAAAATACTGCCAAACAGGTGCTTTTGCATCTCGTTTCGAAACTAAATCATCTGCGATCGTCTTGTCTGTCTCACTCACTTCTTCACGCATCTGTGATGCGACTGTCGTTCGGCACGCTGCATTGAGCAGCCGCGTTCAGTTTTTAATTGTAGTGTCTGTTCTTTTACTGAACTAAATTATTTTTATTACGATAACAAATCAAAACGACGGTGGGGGTCGGTGGGCAAGTGACGTAACCGGTGTTGCGGCTTAACACCGGTATAACCGTTAGCACCGTCTATCGCGGCAAGCCTACATCCTATGACCCCTTTAAGGCAGGTGCTGTTCTGCACTTGTGGCAGGATGTCAGGTATCTTGTGCTGAGAATTACTTAGGATGCTTTTAAACATTGCAGTCAGTGCTGTACAGAGTGGTGTGGTGGTTAAGGTTTGTGCTAGTTACCGTAAAGCACTTACTGTAACACCAGGTTATGCAGGTCCTGTTTATGGCACAGTTCTATGACACTGCATGACATTTGCCAAAAAACAAATTAATTCACCCTAGTTGTGTTCTGATAAATATTTCTTTTTTTTATAGAAATGTGCCACAGTTGTGTGCTAGTTGGTTGTCAGAGCATATAGAGTGCAATAATTGGGTTCCAGATGTAAAATTCCATTCATTTTCTACATATGGGAATTATCACTATTACTTCTGAACTTTTAAGGACAGGAGTGTAAGCTACAAGGTTGTTTATCAATAGTAAATGCTTTTGTTTAATGCAGTTTAATGTGGGTAATGTAGTTTCTCACCAGTATTATCTTTATATTAGGTGGCTTTAACTTAACTACTATGTACTTACATAAAAAAATAAGTACAATGTACTTATTGATTTCATATTGTATTGCAAAACACTTTTGCTGCTGTTGAGTAGTCAAACCTGTTCATTAGAAGGGGGTGTTCCAATACTTTTGTCCATATAGTGTATGTACACAATAATTGCATTGTAAATTATTAATTTAAATGTAAGTAGAGTAGTAGTTAAGGCCACTTAATATAAAGTGGGACCGTAGTTCACATTCTTGTACTTTCGTCGATTTTCAAATACTTGTTTTGCTTCAAAGTTCGTAATGTTATAATTCACCTCATAGCTGGTTTGTTTGGTTCGTAGCTTATAACTCTTAAGAATTTTTTAAGGCCTAAGGAAAAAATGAATAGGAAAAATACTTTAGGAAAGTGGGCGAGCATTGTTGCGGATTGCTATGTAGTTGCCATGGAGTTTTAGGTGATTGCTAGGCTATTCTATACGGTTATATGGGGTAAACGCTATTAAAAGTACACCCCTACTCAAAAAAAATTGCACAATAAGGTATATAGATGTCCATATTAGGGATGTACAATATAGAATTTTTGCCGATATCCGATATTTTTCAACTCATTCTGGCCAATACTGATATATTTCCTTTTGTTTGAAAACAACACCAAGTCTCTCCTGTGCAGAAATAATAAGCAAAATATTTTTTTATTTTGGTTAGTTTTTAACTAGAATTTGTTTGTTATAATTAAATAAATAATAATGTTTTTTTTTCCAATACTGATATATTTCCTTTTGTTTGAAAACAACACCAAGTCTCTCCTGTGCAGAAATAATAAGCAAAATATTTTTTATTTTGGTTAGTTTTTAACTAGAATTTGTTTGTTATAATTAAATAAATAATAATGTTTTTTTTGACAGTACACTGAAGCTTTGAAAATAACTATAAATAAACTATCAATCGCTGCATTTTCCCCCCCAGAGAGATGCAAGTTTAACCCTAAAATTTTATTTTAAGATTTTACATTTGTAGATGGTCTAAAGAAAAAGAGTTGTAAAAGTTCTGCAAAACTTTTAGAGCTTATGATTTGTTTTCAAAATAAAACATATTACACATTAATGAATAAATCAGTATATATAAAATTATTTAATTTACAAGTGTCATGTTTGTGATTTTTTTTCATGTAAGCTATAGCTTCTGACCTTTAAATCAAAACATACTCATTATTTTGACAATTACTGCTTTATTTAATCAGAAACAGTCTAAATGTTATTTGTGTAGGCTATTTTACTTTTAATTTAAAGGGGTCATATGATGCGATTAAAATTTTTCCTTTCTATTTGAAGTGTTACAAGCTCTTGGTGCATAAAGAAAATATGTAAAGTTGCAAAGACTAAAGTCTCAAATCCAAAGAGATATTCTTTATAAAAGTTAAGAGTCAACCAGACCTACCTAAAACGGCTCGTTCTAACACACCCCCACATGTCTACGTCACGATGTGGGAATATTTGCATAACGCCGCCCAAATGTTCACGCAAAGAAAGAAGGCATAACTTTTATTCTCGCTGTAGTATTGTTGCTGCCGTCATGTCGTGAAGACACGTGTGTGTTTGTGTGTTTCGTTGTGAAAGCGAAACTACTTTTCTACTGCCTTCCAAAAGAGGACGATATCCGCTTCGTCAAGCCTAGAGCTGATCCATGCTGGTCGCTGAGGAAATACATCAACTTCACGCTGTGGATCGCCGGATCGGCTTTCACCGTGGACGAAGTCCAGCCCGGGGTCGTCACATGTGGTTGCCTCAAGCCCGCCGGCCGCACCGTTCTCAAGCTCACTCAGGCCCGCCGGCCTCCCCTCACTTTAGCCCGCCGGCCTCCGCTCACTCTAGCCCGCCGCCACTCACTCAGACTCGCCGGCCTCCGCTCACTCTAGCCCGCCGCCGCTCTCTCAGGCCCACCGACCTCCCCTCACTTTAGCCCGCCGGCCTCCGCTCACTCTAGCCCGCCGCCACTCACTCAGACTGGCCTCTGCTCACTCTAGCCCGCCGGCCTCTGCTCACTCCAGGCCTCTGACCTCCGCTCACTCTAGCCCGCCATGTGTGATGCTGTGTTTCGTTGTGAAAGCGAAACTACTTTGTTTGGCCTTCCAAAATAGGACACGACTAGAAATCAGTGGTTAAGTTGTATTTACAATACTGTTCCAGAACAGTTCAACCCAAATATTCAGTGTAGAGTAGCATTTGTAGTTTGTCATTTCTCCGATCACAAATGCAGACATGG